TTTACAAGGAGTCACACATGGTGGGGACGAGGGGTAATGGGTACGAGTTTCTCCTAGGGAGATTGATTGGACACGAGAGGTGAATTTTTCACAATGAGAACAGTCCATCATTGGAATAATCTCCCCAGGGAAGGGGTTGACTCCCCAGGTTGACTCCACTACACTGAACACGTTTATGACTCAGCTGGACATGGTGCCGGGCCATCTTGTCTAGATTGTGCTAGAAAGGTTGGACCAGATGATCCTTGAGGTCCCTTCCAACCTGGTATTCTATGATTATTAATAGAATGCTGATGATAGAATCTCTCTTTGGCAAAACGAGGTTGTTAAACAAAACAAAACAAAACAAAACAAAACAAAACAAAACAAAACCAAACCAAACCAAACCAAACCAAAACACAGCACTAAAACAACATTAAGACAAGTTGCAATATTCCATGCCGCACAAACCAGCTCAGGGAAGAAACGTAGATTAATCGCCACATCAGAACATAGGTATAATTCCTAGCTGAAACAAAATTTTCTCTAGTTAGTTAGTTATGTACTAACTTCTCAGGGATACCTCCTCAATAAAGTCAAACCACAAGGCAAACCATAAGCATTATTTACAAAAAACTTTTATAGAGTTTTTCAGCACTGATATGTACCTGTCAGTATGTAGATCTGGCTTTAGAAGCATAGACTTGAGATACTCTCTTCTTGCACGATTATTTGCTTTATCCACATGTATCACTGCAAAGCAAATCAGAATTAATATAATTAGTTATCAATTGGTTTTCATCTTTTAGAAGAGCGAGCATGAAGAAAAGGACAAAGAAAAAGAAACATTTTTTTCCCTTGTCTTTCCTAAGGAAAAGCAACAATGTTAGAATCAAATCTGAAAGGTCATGTGATCTAATGGCGTGTCACTGGCAGGTTTATGTGCACACTGTCAAAAAAGATACAAGCAGCATCTAAGTATGCCACATAGCTGTCATTTTCTGTTAATGGCAATAGCAGTCATGATTTTAAGAGCCAGTGGTCTTTATTGCTTTGTATTTGAAGTGATTTACTGCATTTTCTTCCACTGAGGAAGCTAGTGATAATGATAATGTATGGCAGAGTGCTTGTCCTTTTTGACAGCCTCAGTAATTTAATCCTCCTTTCCTGCCACAATATTTCAATAAGAGAAACATCTAGACCAATGGACTGGAGAAAATCCACAGCCTGGGGAGTGTGTGTGAGTGCTCTGAAAGCCTTTTATTGTTTTAATTTAAAACACAAACACAAGGACCAGCTTTTAATTTTTATACCATTAATATGACCTACAGTGAAAAATAGCCTTGGTTGGAAAAAACAATAAATGAATGAGAAACAGGGTTTTAGGAAATTCTTTAAGAAGTTTTTGGGCATCTTATATTAAGAAAGCTGCTTTCTTGCAAATGGTATCAGCCTACAAGTATCAGTAAACTACTGTGAAAGATTATAAAAATTCAGGATGCGAAAATTGAAAAACAGTGTTAAAGGAATTACTTGGGGGGGGGGGAAGTAAGAAATACAGCTGAAAAAATTTTGCTAGGACAGAACGAGAATGAATATAATCCTCTGAGAATCAAACATAGCTCTTAGGAACATTTTTCATTTCCTTCTCAGGGCAGGAGGAGGAGCTATAAATTTGTCTGTCCTTAAATTCCAACATCTTTAATATTTGCTCTCTTCTAGTTACTCTGCCACTGTACTCAAAAAGTCTCTTTTTCACTCTCCACACCACTTTACGGTTTCCTTTTCCCACGTGCTGACAGAAATCTTTAACATATTTCATACTGTCTTCTACTATCCAAAATAAACTTATTTGTATAAACAAAAATTACCAACTCTACCAAGGAGCAGAGTATTGGAATACAGGAGTACGAAACAGACATAAGAAGGCTCCAGTTAATTCCTTGCAGAGGTATTTCTTGAGGGACATATCTCTCTAAAAGTCCTTCTACTGGTTCTCCAGTTTTCTCCAAAGCTGTTCCTCAGCTTTTACTTGGCCAGCAGAATCGCTATTAGGAATTAGTTACTTTCAGAAAAGAGCCAGTACAATTGGTATCTGAATCATTCAATCAAAGGAATCTGCAATTTAACACCTTTTTCTCTACTAATAGAAACCAAAGCATTGGTGCTCTATCTTGGAATCTGTAGTTTCCACCCACAATATTCTTACTTTCCTAGACAGGTTAAAAGAAGCTGTTACTGCCATCTGCTATTGTTTTGGGCACGTGGATGACTTTCCACATGTGCTACTTTCATGGCCAAGTGCTCCTGGGGCCACCACAGGAAGTGATGGGGAGGCAGCAGGGAGACAGATGGACAGCCGAAGAACTTCAAAGGAGCTGCCACATCACCAGATTCTTCCCTTTCCCATAAGCATCCCAAATGGAATTTCCTAAGTTTACTAATTCTGTATCTAAAACAATTTTAAATGGAAATTATTTACAAACCTAAAGAGTTCAAATTCATTTCACTCAATGGAAAAATTCAGACTAGCAAGTAAAACATTCAGCACAAGAACTCCATTCGAGTCTGGGGAAAATGATTAACCATAGTGAAAATATATTCTTAAATGCTGATGAATAACATGCTTTCATATCACCCCTTAGTACTGCCTGAACTTAGAATTATAACATTGCTCCAAGGCATGGAATATCTCCTATTTCTATCCAATTAATTGCAAAAATAATTCAAAATTAACTTGTGACAGTTTGCATCTAGAATTATCATTTTGAAGTTTGTCCTAAAGAAGCACTAAAACCTGAAGATTACAATGACCCTGGAACCTTGTTAAAAATCACTGCAATTCCAAACATTAACATAGCTGGTTCTGTTATAGCATATTTTTTTCATAGTTGACTTTCTAACAAACCTAAATGACTATGTGATGAAGCAGAGTTTCATCACAATGATGAAGAAAAAATGCCTCACGGTGTTGAGCTTTAATGTAGAAAAGGAATAAACACAAAAAAGTATAACAATGTTTTCTGATGCAAGGCCTTAACATTTTTGTTTGAGTTATATCGAGGAATCCACCTTTTAGAATATGGATATTGAGAAGTTTATTTTTAATTTAAAAAAAAAACAAACAAAAACAAACCAGAAACAACCCTTCTCTTTCCCCCACCTCCCCTTCCTTTGGTCTATTTACGCTTGTACTTCAAGTTGTTCAAATAACAACCTCTTCGCTCAAGAGAGAAAGCTTTCCAATTAAATGTCATAAAGTCTTTGCGAAATTTCATAAATCTTTCTTCTGCTGCCTGTTCTCTAGAACCTTCTATCAATCTTACCTTCTTGCCATCTCAGCATTTTCATAGTTAAGTCTTCATATTTAATAAAATATGAATGCTTTTTGTTAACAACATTTATGAACTAACCTTAGCTTTGTAATTTAAGTAATTGTGGCCTTGACAAGAAAAACGTTTGTTTAACTGAAATTAAGAGTCAAATATCAATAGATTCATTTATGTGTGAGGGAGCCTGGGCTTTGTTTGCTTGGAGCAACATGTGAAACTGCCATTACCTTCACTTTAAAGCATATATTGTGACATGACTGGAAATAAATAATTTCTGGCACACAATTTTAAACTGCATTAAAAAGTTAAAATATTAATTCATTACTTACTCTGATCTGTAACACACCTTATAACATCAAAACCAAACCATACCAAAAGAAACCCCATCAAAAAAATCAGAATCCTTTCTTTTCACCAAGTTACAGGACAGAGTCATGGTGTGAGCACAATTTGGCAAGTTCCACTTTTCTTTGAATTTATGGGACTGTAGTGTTTGGAAGCATTATAGGATATTCTAATAACTCTTTCCACCACTAACGAACACAACAGCTCCTCTCCTCAGTCCTACCGGCCATCAGTAGATATATCACTTAATGTCACGGGAAATCAAGAGTTATGCGCTATAACCCTAGAATGTATAAACCTCCCATTCAAGTTTCTGTTCCAAGACTGTGGAAGAAAGAAAATGATCTTCTAACCTTGCCTAGTCAAAAAGTCATAGTCAAAATAAACAATTAATGTCAAGTTACATGCACTAACCACTTATGAAAAGAGAAATTCATGGGATCCTGTATGTCCAGATCAATGGAGTAAATTCCGTTAATCTTGTGGTATCTTACATGTCAAGTAATGACAGCGAAGGATGTGCAAAAGGTCTGGAAAAACTTCAAATGTTTTTTAAGCAATGAATCTATGGAGCCTTCTGTATCAGTTAAGATGTTTTTAAAACAGTCTAGTTGTTCCAGTTATAAATAACATAAAATGTTTTATTTATAAGAATTAATGATTTTTTGGATTACTTATGGACTTACCCTCATTTTCTCCATGCAACAATCTAGAAGACTATTAGTTTCTTTCTAAGCTCAAAGTAAATTTCTTTCTACCCATGCAAATCTCACTTTTATTAAAGAAAATATTCAATTAACCTCAAATATTCAACATACTCGAATCTAATTAGACATGAATAAGAGATGCAGTAAAGCTATAGTAAACACACATGCAGATTTCATTACTATTATCTTACCGGCTTTCCAACTGACATTATCAAAAAGCAGACTCATTAGGTTTTTTTCCCCCCTTTATGCAAAGCTAATCTTGAGTAGAAATTAGATGACCAATTATCTAAGCAAAACTCTGCAAATAACAACCACACTAGTATTATGCTGCAGAATACAGTCCTGAAGCAATTATGACCAAAACCACCTTTTTGATATTGATTCGTTAGGATATTTTAAAGTTTAAACAGTTCTATATTCGATACTTAATTACAGCAAATAGAAAAATCAAAGTTATGAAGCCAGGTTTTGACTAGCAGAAATAATATAATACAGCACTACCAGATTGGGAAGCCTTATGAATTACAGTCTCTACAAAGCATGATACTATTTTCAAATATCACAGCTTGAAATATATTTAAGTTTCATAATTGTCTTAAGAGTCTGAAATTTCATTCTGTATTCATTATAACTTTGCTGTGTTTTTCTAGTTTAACTTTGCAGAGTCAATACTTAAAAAAATAATATTATCCTTAGACCATAGCCAATATACACGGGAATCAGAATAGCGTGTAAGAATTTTTATACCTTCTGAATGCTTCTTATATTCAAAGCAATAAGAATTCAAGAAGCTAGAGGAGTTAAAAGTGTTAAATAGCTTTTATTGGTTTATGGTATTATTTCAATGAAGTTTTAAAAAATTTATTTCAATTACGTCTGCCTACCTAGAACATTTGGAAAAGTGTTTATAGTAGCTAGCAAGATGAATATTGTTCAGCTCATAAAAAGAGTTCTTGCTTATCTGATGTCTCATTTAGTATATGATGCCAGAAATCCCATCTGTTTGAATGGAAGTAAGCCTCAGTGAATGAAAGAGTTTGCAGTGCTATTAGTTTTTGTGGTTTTGTTTTTTTCCCCCCAAAGCCTTACAAAGATTACTGTCTTTCTCAGAGTCATATAAGTTAACACATTGTGCCCTGTCCTCTATATTCTCTCTCAAATGGGCAGTCCCACTACAGCAATGGTTGATATGACATCTACAAGGGATTTCAGTCTTCAACTATGGGGCAATCCAATAGTTTATGACTATTAGGAGGATATAAATGAGTAAATTCTTTGGCAAGTCCCCTTCTAAAATCAGGTTTCTAGATGGTAGCAATTTTAGAGATCTGACTGTGACACCACTTTTGCAAAGCCACTTTTACAAAATTATTTTTAAAAGCATGCTTATTTTGAATGTCTGTATTAGTAGCAAACTGATTCACCTGCTCCAGGATACTCTCAGCTAAAAATGCAATACTTAAAATCCAAGACAACATGAAGCACTCAGGCTGAATCTTAAATGAAATAAACTTTAACAGAAAAAAAAAAACAGTTAATGAATAATTGAAATACTATGAAATAGCTGGGAAAATAATTAACAAGAGAATTATCAATTATTACAATAGTTCTGTCTAACCTATTAGTGTAAATTACATTGTGTATTGATATAAAGTATTTTCAAATGTTCATTTATTAGAAAATAGCATATGGAACATGCAGGATTAAGTATTATGAAGTAAAAAGCAATGTATTAGTATTAAACATGGCTGAATAATTTCCTATTTCAAAAAGTTCTTATTAAAGGAACACTGAGTATTCCCAAGTGATGATCAAGTCCAATGACATATTTTCCTCTTTTCAACTGTGTATTAGTTGTACATGGTTAAATGGAATGTTTTTCTTTTGCTCTGCCATCATGTACCAATAGAGAAATCGGTTCGTGTTCTTTTTAAAAGAACACATAAATTTTACTCATGTATAGCCTAATTTTAAAATTTAGGCGCTAGCAGCATATTTAAATATATTGTAATGTTATCATTTCATACACAAGCCTACTTCAATAATACATTTGATACTTCATAATTGCATCCTTACCTCATTTCTTAAAAAACACCTTTAATATTTCCCAAAATATTTGGGAAATAAACAAATACAATCGGTACACAGATAAACACAACTATAACATATAGAGGAAGTAGACCTTATTGGCAGGCATTTTCATAAGACAGAATTTAAGAGAAGAGATAAGCCTGCTCAGGAATACATCATACTTACCATTGCTATAGTTATAGTGAATCCTCTGACCACTTGTTGGTTTTGGAAGTGACAGTGGGGTCTCCTCTGCAAGAAAATTGTATAATCTGCATTCTACAAACAGCTGCTGTATTGTTTCATCTGATGCAATTCGTGACTCAGTAAGACCAAGCGATATAATTTCAATCCGGATTTTTTCAGTTGCCTATTTAAAAACAAAGCATAAACATAATACAAATTATTTTGTGTTTCTTGAAGTGTTAACACAAAACAAAAAAACAAACAAACATGTAAATCATTGGCTATTTTGTATAATTAACACTGATCAATTGATTTTGACGTAGGCACAATGAGATTCTAAAGCCCCAGGTTTTGTAGTTAAGAATATTGTTGCAACAGATACTGATTTACATTTGGTGTTGAAAATATTTTTGCAATAGTCATACTATGCTGGAGGAGATTAGGTTAAGGTTATCTTCATGTACAAATGATATCTGAACCACAAATTTCAGTTGCCATTATTTTCAGCTACACAGCAAAGTGATTTGTATCTTGATCCTGCAACTGCTTGAAATAGTCTCAGTAATATTAGGTACTAAAGCTTTCCAAATGAAAGAGAATTGTTACTCAGTGCCTACTGCAGACTATACTAAAAATAGTTCAATAAAAATCCATCAAGTCACAAAGTAGTTAGGCATGTAACGTAACACTGTATTTATACGGAATTCAACTTCCTATACCAAACTTTTCTAGTTAAATCAAATACACATTTAAGTTAAAATTAACAATATGATAATAAAAGTAATATCCCAATTGTTCTTCACCAGAGCCTTTTCTTATTATTTTTAACTAAAATGATATTTTTCTGTTGCTTATATGAAATTGTTTCATACTGTTCAGCAAAGTCTATATTATTTGTGTACAGATAAATTTTAATAAGCTTTATGTATTTAAGTGGGAATGTCAGACTCGACAGGAAGAGTCACAAATATTTCCCCAGGTAACTCTGTAATTCAAAGAAAAGCCTCTATGGTTCCAAAATTGGAGTACATAAGCGAGCATTCAAAGATGAGATTCTTCAAAGAGCAAACAGAACATGTTGGAGTTCAGAAATGCAAAAAAACTTTTTTTACTTCTTTCTTTTCAAGTTCATCACCTTATTAAAAATATTTCCCCTATATGGAAATATTTTGACAATTTTTGATTGTAAACTTAAATCACTTGAAGTAATAAATTATATTAAAAAGATTAGCTTTCTACATTCAGTGTTAGAACTGCAAGTCAATATTCTAATTTATTATGGAGATATATAATTTGCTTGGAAAAATATAAGCTAACTAATCAAACTGAAAAGCAGGTGTATCCTACTGTAAAAATATCCATCAAATAGAACAATTTCCATTGCTGTCAAGCCCTTTCAATATTTGATGAAGTAATTTTACCCCCTCCTTTCAAAAGACATTTCCTTTTATTATGTATCCTAAGACACTTTAACTAAAAACCCAAATCTGAATATTTCAATAAGGTTGGTTTATTATTCAGTAGATTCATGGAAATTTTACTAGGATGACAGAGAAAATTCCACACCATTCTGTCTCCACTAATACAGGTACATGGCTTCAGCTGGCAATATTACTGGGATTAGCATAGAATGATGAAATATTTAAAGGAATTTTTTTTTTCTAAAATCTAATAAATCAAATGACTGCCAAATGTCATTAAAGTGATGGTCTTTGACTTGAATATGCTTTTCATATTCAAATTTGAAAAGAAAGAGATGAAAGCCTGGAAAGGTTACTCAGTTTCAACTAATAACCTCAAGCACTCTACATTCACATGCATAAAAAATGAAATTGGCTCTATTGTCTAATTTTACTTCAGAAACAACTCTTTTCTTCTTGCACTGAACAGATGTATTAGCATCTGTATTTAAAGTGATATGCTGAGTGGTTTTGTTCGCCCCAAAGTATTTAGCAGCTATGTCAGACTAGTTTGTACACAGACAGTAGTTTATGAATTGAGTCCAAATACAATATCCTGTATTATAGAGTATTCCTTTTACATATCTTAAAATTTGTTTGACATATTTAACACTTGTAATTGCATACTGTAGGCAAAGAATATTACAGTTTTTCAAGGATAGCAGGGTAAATCCAGGTATTCTGCTTTCTAACTTATAAGGAAGCAAATAACTGAGTCATACTATTAGAAAATTGTAAGAAAAAAAAGACTTTAGAGCTTAACAGTCAAGAATATTTTAAGGCCTGGTTTTATTAATATTAAACATCAATACAGCATATACAAAGGAGAACACAAGCTGATTAAAAAAAGATATTTACAAATAAAAAATATAGAACTGCTTAAGAACAGCATAGCCAGCATGTCATATTTCACTACTCATACAAAAATGCTCGTATTATGTAGCCATGCTGAAGATATATGTAGCATCCAAAATATGATAGGAATGAATTTTTAAACAACCATTTATATTTCTATGATACAGAGTGAAGTATGTTATTTAAATCTTTTCCTAAGTTTTTTTTTAAGCCTTGGTCTCATTTATTAGGTACTATTCAAGTGAAAAATGGATAGGTTGTCATGACTGATTACTTCCCACAAATCATTCTCCTTTGACGGGAATAAAATTAGTCTTTAAATTTAGTATTTAAAACAAAATATAATATCAAATTTCCTCTAACAGAGAGACTGGACACACATATTAAAATAAAGAATACTAAATGCTTTCAAAGACTATCTCTGAGAAACTAGTTCAGTGCTTTCATTTCAAGTGAGGAAAACAAAACATGGGCAAGATACTTAGTCTGTGTCAATATTCTTTCTTTACCATTTAATATTGACTCTTTGTAATTAACACTACCCAGAGATTTGGAAGAATCACTGAACTCCTTCAACAAGCTTTAGGATTAGGTTCAGTACTAAATGCATTGGACATTACATCAGAATTTGAAGTCTCAACAGAATTTCTCTCATCTTTCTGATTTCTGAGATTAAAAACAGCTTTTTTTAATTCCATAAAAAGTCTTGACTGCCATCTTCAAGAAGCTGTATATTCCATATTTTAATTTCCTTTGTGGTCACAATAAAATGCTAAGACTTTGATGTGAATAATAAAATTCCAATTGACTCAAATGGTCCACAATAGTATCCCACAGAATTAAGTGTTTTACAAAAAAAAAAAAAAAAAAAAAAAAAAAAAAAAAAAAAAAAAAAATTTTTTTTTTTTTTTTTTTTTTTTTTTTTTTTTTTTTTTTTTTTTTTTTTTTTTTTTTTTTTTTTTTTTTTTTTTTTTTTTTTTTTTTTTTTTTTTTTTTTTTTTTTTTTTTTTTTTTTTTTTTTTTTTTTTTTTTTTTTTTTTTTTTTTTTTTTTTTTTTTTTTTTTTTTTTTTTTTTTTTTTTTTTTTTTTTTTTTTTTTTTTTTTTTTCCACAAAAGTAACCCACAAAATAAAGTGTTTTAAAAAAAAAAAAAAAAAAAAAAAAAAAAAAAAAAAAAAAAGCAAAAAAGCTTTTGTGCTTTCTGCACAGAAGAGCAGCATTGAAAATGCCTTGCTTATAGGAACAATGTTCCTATTTTTTACATCCACAGTTTCAACTAAGATGTTGCCTTTGAAAAACTCAAAATAAAGGAAACTTCTTAACCATGAGATCAACTTGAATCCTACCTTTACCAATGCTCAGAAATATATATGCTTTACTCCTTAATATTTTAGGTATTTATTTCCACAGTCCACTTATTCACTTGTTCCCTTCTATTTCAAGCAGAGAGCACATCAGATAAACTATAAGCTACTGTCCAATAATCACAAGTAATCATCCATTTGCTATCAATACTTCAATCACTATCAATATTACTTGATTGACAAATACATTTATTGAATGAGAAATCATCCTCTTCCTCTATCAAGTGCCAAATTCCTGTGATCATCCTATTAACAACGTCAGAACAGAGCTGCAAAGGAATGCTATCATAGGAACGTCAATCTAAGGTAACTGTTCAGTGACAAACATTACTCAAGCATTAAGTAATTATGATTAATAGGTTAACATCTTACATGTACACATAAAAATACATATTACAAACAATTATTCTAGTCCTTAAGTGTATGCACTGACTTTTCATGTTAGGAACAACATCATCTATTTTTAGATTTTCCCCACAACGCTGTAGACGTGAGAATAGAAAGAGGGATACGGAAATGCTCCCTGTTCCTTTTCCAAATGGATGGGACTTACAAAAGTGCATGCACTTTAGATTCTCCCTAGGACCTGGGGCAAAGAGATCTCTCCTTGTTCAATGCTCTTTTGGAGTTGGATTTACTGTGAAGGAGGGAAAGGCACATATAATCTTCCCCCAGCATCGCTGGTTTTGCCATGTGCTAGGAGGAGAATGCAATGAGACAAGGCTAGCTCCATAATAAGGTTCAATTCAATCCCTTCAGCTCTGTCTAGAATTAAGAACACACTAAAAAAATCTGTTTGTGACAATGAGTACATCTCTGGTTGCTGCCATATCTAGCGCAGAATCCAAAGTCATCATTTTCAGAGCATGAATTCATCTTCAATATCTGCAAAGGCATGAATTACTTGCTACAGCTTGAGACAATTCAATGATTAGATATTGCCCCTTCTATGCAAATCTGTAACATACCCATCAGCGCATTGATTTTTTTCAGAAAAGACAATTTCTAATTCAGTATAGAACACCAAACATTTTAGAAAATACTAAGTTCTTGAGGGATGTGAAGCCTTCCCACCACGACTATGACAACTATACATCTGAACTTAAAAGTCACATTTACGCTTTCCTCCTAATACAACTTTTGATCACTTGAATAATATACTTTCTTCCCTTCAAATGGCTTGCCTCCCCACCTTTTCGAAAAATAAACATAAAATTGTTCAATGTTTCTCCTGAAGCAGAATTGTTTTTAAGGATTTGCTTTTGCAACTTGCCTGTGGCACTGCCTCATCTAACAGCTTTTAAAGATAAACTGTTTCTAGGAATGAATAAATACAAAAAAGCAGATATATCTGCAGCTGTTTGACTGGTGAGATACAAACTTCCTTAACTCTGAGTTTTGTTTTTCTCCCCAAGAAGTGGGGAAGGCTACATAAGCAATATTGTTACAGTCCAGAACTATCTCAAAGAGGAGACTTCATTTTTTTTAGTGTTTAAACACTCACCATTGATTATACCACCAAATAAAATAAAAAACAAATACCAACTTTATCAAATCTCAGACAGTTAACTACATCAGTACCAACTAGTCACACAATTAAGTAATTCAAATGCTCTGTAAACTTAGAATTATCTCTCATTTCAAAAGGAAGCATGATCCTTCAGTAAATAAGCAGGAAAGAAAATTTCTCAATAAAAAGAGGTCTTAGTCTGGACATTTTCAGCATGCTAATACATGTCAACATTTAAGCTACAGAAATAAGACGAAAAAAGTAGCAGTATTACGTAGAAAACTAAACAAATAGAAATATAACAGGACTTCTGCTTTTGTATATATCTATGCATGTTTTTTTCTATATATAGATCATAGACTTCTGGTTTGATTAAAAAAATAAATTATAAAAATCTGTATTTGAAAGTTAATCCATTTAGGAAAAAAAAAAACCACCTTAGTATGGGAAGAAAGCGAAGTATAGCATTTTCATTTGTTAAGAGTGCATCTGTAGTGAAAAAATATATCAAATTGCACGTTTTTAATATAGCTGTTCTTTTTATTTAGAGCGTTAAGACTTAACAGTTGATACTGTGTGTGTCTGTGTCCCTGCCATTATAGTATTGTGTGGGGACAATATAGACATGCAAAAAATGAATGGAATTTGACTCTCTCTCATATTACCCACAGTGTGAAAAAAATTATGCTGGGTGATATGTATCACAGCTAATCAAAACTCAGATTTAGTTTCAAATCCCATCCTTTGGTTTTAAGGCCTCCAATCAGAAAAATACTCCTTTCTACTTGTAAAGTCACCATAACTTACTTCTATATCAATGACCTCTGATAAATATAGTCCCTCAAGTAAGCAACTGAGGAGCAATCATATTCATAACCACAAAAACTATTACCACCTAGGTAAAAAATGGCTCCAGTTGATGCTTTTCCTGTGGGCTAATGCACACAGCCTTAAATCTGACTTTCTACTTAATTTAATATTCTGACTAATTAGTTTTATTTGTTACCTAAAAAGTAACGGGTTACCTAATGACTTAAGATTCTGTTGTTTGAATAATTTTAAAAGCTGGTGTTTGGGGGGTTTTTGGTATTATTTCTTCCTCTTCTTTCAGTTCTTCCATCAAGAAGAATGACTTGTAGTACATGCTTCTAATTATTACTTCAAGGTATATTTGACAAGCGCTAGAAGTTGTAAATCCGTCATTTCAGTGTACTGCCTACTCAAACTATGGTCATCTCAAACTTTATCAGTGGCAAAAGACAACTTAGGTCTTTCCTGGATTCTTCAAACTTTCTCTCTTTTACTTTAGTTCCTGTCTAATAGTGACCATAACAGCAAACAATCACGTTAAAGATGGAGAATGGCAAAGGTTCCTTTTTAATCTTAGACCCATCAGTAGTCTTTGAAAATACTGACTATAAAGCTTTAATAAGTTACTTTTATCTTACTCTGATAAGATAGTTCTGTTTCATGAGTTTTATTTCTTGTTTTATTACATATGCTGGTGCAGCACTTTTACTTCCCGAATTTCTTATAGAAGCACAAAGCAACTAAGGTTAGATCTAGACAAGACTAAGAGAATACAAAGGATTAGTACTTCTGGCACAGTAGAATAAAGCCAACTCAGCAACAGAGGGTAATACTAAAAACCTAAATTTTGCTTCTCTAAATTCAGATTAGATATTCACAGAACAAACCAGTTTAAGGAAAGCACTGAGCACTCAGAAATCTCCCTGAAGTACACCAAAGGTAGTCAAGTCCTGCAGAAAATAAATTTAAAGAGAAATCAAGACAGCCAAAATTTAAAATTGCAATACAATGTCCAAACAATTTTCTTTTTTTCAATGAACGCAGATATCTCATAGGAGGAAATGCACTATTCAAGTAGTTGTACAAAAAAAGGCATAATAGAAGTATTTATTGCTTTGCTATACATAAGCTTTATGCTTTACATCTTCCCAGCTTTGCACAAACACGTTTCATTGATCAGCAGAACCACAATCAATTGGTATTGCTTTTTAATGGTGTTTAAGAGAGATTTTCATGTCAAAATTAATCAGACCTTGAGATCTTAATTTACAGGCACTGAAAATGACAGTTTTCAATAAACTGCTATTAGCACAAGATAACGCACTCACAGTATCTGCAACAAAAAAGAGAGATGTAAACACACCTATAGAAAAAACAGGACCACCACTGAATAAATTGGTTTTGCCAGTAATTGCCTTATGGGCACACTTTAAGACAACTTAGAAGCTGACAGCAGTAAATTTTATTGTGATAATTGAATGCTATATTATCTCCTGTAAGGATAAAGTGTAGACATGGAGGTGCAAGGGAGGAGGGGATGGAATTTTTTTTTTTTTAATAATTTTTTTTTAAATATAAAGACCATGCAAAAGAAAATGCAAATTCCCAGTTTTGATGTCTATTTTGAGGATCTGAAACAAGCCTTTTAATCAATGTATTATACATCAAATTGATAATGTTAACTTCTGATTATTCAAATGTATGAAAAATTCATAGAGAACTGTCCAAACTTTTACATTTCTCAGACTTCTTTTCTCTATTAATTATCATGCCTGGAAGCTTTTTAGTAAAAGCAGCAGCCATCAGCCTGACTGAACCTGACAAGCTAGCAAGGCCCAATTACACTGGCACTCTGTGGCACTTTGATGTACTGGAAACGAAAAGAGATAGGGGCAAATTGTATAGCACATTATGTTAATGACTTGATTTAATCCAGCCACTAAACTTTATGTAGCCTGTTAAAAAAGATGCTAACACTAATTACGCCACTTTGGAAAGGAAAGAAGGGGACAAGCATTTCATACTGACAAAGTGAAGCTCATAAATGTTGTAAATGAAATGAAACAAAATGAAGTAATCTATGATTAATTATACATCATAGACAAGAAGAAAAGAGAAAGAAGCAAGTGGTACAGCTAAGTAGTGGAAAATTTGTTAGATACCCTTTATGATCAACATATCTAAGAAATAACCATGAACTGTCTAATTTGCAACATGCAAAAAAGAAACAGTATGATCTTAAATGGCTTAAACAGTTTGGCATAAAACTCAGAGTTATAGGATAATTAGCATAACGATCTCTAAAAATCACAAGCCTTATTTACAGTGTTTGATTACCAGCAGGATATTTATCTCAAAAGATAAAAGGCAGTAATTTTTAATCTTAAAAAAAATACAAATTCAGTCACAACTTTCACATGCTGTATTTTACAATTAACCCAAGATTTCAAATATACCAATGCCTATTTTTAAAATACAATTTGTATCAAACGTGTTGCCTTAATAGTTTATAGCTTTTGTTGTCTTATCTACCCTTCTTGAACACGCACTTTGTTACCAGAGGAACAGATCAATGGAAAGAGGTAGAAATTAATGAACCTGAAATGAACCTACACTCAAAATCCTCTCAGAAGTGTTCTTAAATAATTTTGATAAAATAAAATACAGGATGACTAGAAATGTATCAATCAACCGTATTATAGTTTGACTTAATGGTTACAAATAGCAATCATTTTAGTACTCGAAATTCCAGGTGAAACAATTTTTCTACATTTTACATACAAACAATGAAATTCTGTCTTTAAGACTACCTTTAGTATCTTTCTGCAACATATATATGTGATAGCATTTCTAAATCTCTTCTACAACTTAAAAAAAAAGGGAGCAATATTTCTCATACAAAGCATTGCTTCTTGCTGCTAGTTACTTTGTAAGATGTCACACAGCCTTGAAAAAAGGATTAAAAAAAATATAAAAAAAAAAAAATAAATCAAACTGCCTCTAGGTTATCACATTGCAGAACATTAAAAAAAGTTAAGACTGAGAGGATATAACAGTACACCCCTGGTCCTTTAAAAGAAGGCTAAGACAGACCAGAGAAGTATTAACTGTTAGAAGCATTATAATGAATTTTAAGTGCTAGTTTTATATTTAAGATTGTTCGGTCAATGTTAGATCTAAAAGTATGAAATATTGTTATTTTTTTAGAGAACTACACGACTGAAATACCGTTCAAAGTAAATTTTCCAAATTTCTATTATGCTGTGTTATTTTGTATATATGACTTTATGCTCATTAATTGCTGGTTTTAAGAACAAGTCAAGAGAATGTCACTACTGTACAGGCCCACAAATAATAATAGAAAAAGAAGTACACTGAAGTGATTGGATACTGTACGTGTACAAACTTTATTGAAAACGGATGTTCAGTTCTAAGACTGTTGGGAAGTCAGGAACAAAAAGAAATCTATGTGGATGAACTAGAAAATAAATGCAAGGTTTGCATATTATTAACAACCTCAAGCTTATGTAATTGCCGTTTCAACAACATTCAATCAAGTCAACATACTGGGAAGAAACAGTGCATTGTAGATTTACTACAGGCCTTGATAAGTGAAATTATCCTCCCTTTCCTCAGAAAGCACTGGAAGCAGCAGAAAAGCACGTTTTCCCACATGAAGGTAACAGGTAGGACTGAACAACAAGACTAAGTTCTTTAGACATTCGCATTACAACAGTTATCTTTCATTAGGAAGATTTTGTGCAGGACTAAAATTTGAATTCAGATTGAAACTAATTAGAAATGTCTATTCCTAAGCATGTATGACAACAATGGAAAAGATGACAACCCATTTCCCCATTAAAAAAAACCCTATAAATCACATGCACAATACGGTCAGGTTAACTTTTTTTTTTTTCTGTGGAAAGGTGTCTATTTGAACTGGAAACAGGAAAACATACATTTGCTGAAAATGCCTTAGAATCTGACATTAGATATAGCAAAGCTACTTTTAGAGGACATTAGGCTTAAAGTATTTTTCTTAAGACTGACCAAACAATTGCCATAAATACTCTGACTCACCTGTTTAATATTCTTGGATACTGGACTTGAAACAATACAGTCATCGCTGTCAGTTATTATTGATTCAATGGCATCATTTTCTTGTCTATCATCTTGATCTGAAAAAAAAAAAAAAAGGAAAAAAATCAATGTAGTTAAAAACCCCTGTATCTGTAGTCCATCTGAGACTTGATGAGAAACCTGATAGCAATATATTTGCTTTTCTAATAAATGAAGTATAAGTGCCAGGTAAATCCTGTCTTCCTTGCAGAAGATTAACACTGGCAAATCAATGACCTTTAAAGTCATGTAAACTGTATTTTTTCCTGATTTGCTAAAAAAATAGTAATGTTTCCCAGATAAAAGTTGATGAGTGGAATGATATAAGACCATTGATGAACTGAAGTACGAACAACAGTTCACTTTATATAAGAATATGGCCTGAATTTGTGGATTTCCTCTGACTACGTTTAACACCATGTACATGTAAACAATGCACTTTATTTAAAAAAAAAAAAAAAAAAAAAGTTCTGTATGCAGGTGGATTATTTTCTAAAGCATTCAGGTCTTTTTTCACTGGAGCAAGTTACTTATAAACACAACAGAGATTCAACATCATGTTTTTCCAGTTTTTCTGATGAATTCTTATGCAGAAGCTGCAAATAACTGATCATAAAAGTTTTAGCACCCTGCTTGTGCTTTTACTTTAAACTTGGTATTGTGGACTTCGTTTATTTCAATGATAAACAGTTTAAGCTCGGAGGTGGAACAGGATGACCCAGCTTTTATAATCTTTAAATAAATCTGCCTCTAACAACTTTGTGTCACAGATATGATAAGATAAGACGTACTACCCCCCTCACTGAAAGGATTTCCGATATCAGCATTGGCTGTTATCTACAGACAAAAGGAGCATATTCATTAAAATAGTCTTTAGAACAGCATAGTTCTAAGGCAGAATATAAAGACATTTAAAATAGAAGCCAGGTTTCCTTTAATATTTTATGAATCTAGGTCAGATACCAGATTTTTGCATTCAATTACAATAGTGTTTCCATTTGGGAAGAAAATAACACCACCACATCCACCACCCAGCTTCAGCTATAAAGTAGACCAGAATATCATTTCTGTCATGAAGCTTCTCATAATGAGGCAGCTCCCACTGCTAGTAAGAAATGCTTAAGAAAATGGAAAGAGACATAGATTTATTAAGAAAATACAGTTACTTATTCATAAAAATGAATTCTACCTTCTGGGTCCAATTCTTCAGTTATTTCTGTCTCATCTCCAGAGGTAACTGAGCTCTGGTCGGCCAACTGCCCCTCTGACAGATGTGAGAGGTCCTCTTTTTCCTGGTGAATTTCTTCAGCCATCTCCTTCACCTTATTATCTGCTAGCCTTTCTTGTTTACCTTCATGTACCACATGCTATATAAAAATAGATAAACTCACAGTCTTTATAACAGTCACTGAATAGTAAAAGTTACTGAAGTTCAAAACCTGAAGAGTTATGGCTCACATTCATTATACATAGCCTTTAAACAATTATATTGCTTATGCAGTGCAGGAAACAATGAGAAGTTGTCAACTGCAGCAACAAATAATTGATACAGTAGAAAGACAATTCTCGAACGATGTATATTCGTGAAAACATAACTATTATAATCATTTGGTACCTGTCAACATATATACAGCCTGTTAGATTTCCAGATTCATTTATATTTCAGCTCTTTCAGTTCTACAAGGCTCATTTAAAAAAAAAAAAACAAACAACAAAAAAACCAAAAAAACCAAACCCAAACAAACCCACCACCACCTTACTCAGTTGTCACTTTTATAACTTAAATTATACAATATATTCTGTTTCAAAAGCAAACTAAAATAATGTAAAAAAGAATCAGCTTTGCTACAAAATACAAACATGTTATCTAAGGTAACATACCTTTAGTGCATAACTTACTCTGAAGTAATCTTATTCGTTTTTTCTCTTAGAGTACAATTACATAGATTAATACCTCATCAATGGATATAGCATTACAAACATGGCATCTTCCATGGAAATTTGCTGGAGACCTATGGATTATTTATTATCCAACAATTCTCCTCCAGGACTGAATTTTCCACAGACACACTGATGCCTCGCTTCACCTCCCACCCTCAGAATCCATGAGATAACTTTCAGCTCTCCACAGAACACCAGGTTTTCCAAAACTGGACCTGAAGAGTTGGTTCTATTCTAACACACTTGGAGCCGCACAAAGCAAAGAAATGCTAACAAACACTTAAGAGCCTTATTCTAGAAATAAAGGTTATCCTTGAAGTTTTCAAGTCATAGAAAACTGACTTTATGTCTCTTGTGCTCCTCCTTGGCATAGATGATGTGTCATAACCACTGTGTTTTAGACAATGTTTGGCCATTCTTTTTAATTCCTTCAGTGACAGAGTTGAATTTTGTGGATAAAATTTTCAGAGAGACCATACTTTTTGATTATTCTACTTGACCAATACTCTCTGATGTGGTGGAAGGGAGACTTAACTTCTCAATCAAAGCCCCAGATGAGCTTTAAAGTAGAAAAGTGAATGGAAGATAAGAGCCAGTGATTAAATGTTGTGTTACACCACTAGAAACTACAGTTTGCCAATCTGCCACTACTTACTTTCACAACCAATTGGACCATTACAAATTACAATATTGAACGCTTTTATTCTCTTTGGAATGCTACATATTTAGCAATATTCCAAAGTTACTCCATTTCTTCTTCATTCCCCCCTGCTATATAACGGCAATTTTTAGAGGGAAGACAAAATAAACTTCATCCAAACATAGAAGGAAATAAGTAGAGATACTCCTCCCTTTCCAATGGCCAAAAAAAGAAGATTGTCATCACAAGGAATCACTTTTTTCATATTTCAGAGAAGTTTTTGAGATCTTACTTTACCGTTGTTTGATTTTTGATGCATGACTCTGAAGAAATAAGATACACGTGGAATTCAAATGCAATATATTATATAAAACCACAGAACCTGAATAATCTCATACCTCTGAAACACTTAGAACTCTTGAAGTCTTCATCTTCTGTGCAAGTTCCATGTTATTTTCAACAATAGAGCCCTAAGTTACAGGTAAAATAAGGGGAAGCCTTTAATATAATTTAGTAGACAACTAACACCCTAAAGTAGGTATAAATTTACTGGGGGAGAAGCATTTGGACAGAAAATTATGTCCTCCTTTGCTTCTCTGCATCAGCATTACTGCTTCTATCCTCTGCTGTAGCTTCTACCTATGAGGCTGGACAATTCTTACAAATTTTTAGTGGGTCTCCTTTTCCGACAACAACTATTTGCTTTGGCATGTGTCACATAAATATTCAAGAACTAGATTCTCTGCTATTCAGAAAATGAAACAGACTGTTCCTGTACAGTTTTAAGCTGTTGAACTTCCAGTTCTCTTGCACAGACACTCTCTTGCCATTTCACCACGAGATTTAGACATCAGAAAAGCCCCAGCTATTTAATTGTTTAGTTCAAACAGTACTTTTGTCTCTAACAAGACAGTGAGGCTTGGATTTTTAAAACAGCTAGAGGAGCTGCCCAACCAGTAATGAAGACTTCTGATGGAGACCAAATAGCTGTCTCCCTTAGAAAATCCTAGTTTGTGAAAAATTGTCGAACTTTGAGAAGTTACTGTTTGCACAGTTGAAGATATGTTGTGTGTGTAACTATATGGCTAACATTTCAGTTTTCCATATCTAAGCCCTCAAAAGATTTGATTTTACCAACATTTGACTTTTTTTTCTTTTTTTAGGTTAATTAATACAAGAGATTGACTTAATTCTTATTTCTAGTCTATACTGTATGTCTCAAAACAAAGTTCTAGTCATGGTAAACTTCACAATAGCAGAAGAACCTGTGACTTGAAAACTGATGTAAACATTTCAAAAAATAAATCGAATCAAGGCATTTACAAATGGAAAAAAATGATCACAGCTAGTTTTTAATTAATTAATGCAACATAATATTATTAACTAATACTACTACTCATAACCTTTTATAATTAGCTGTTAAAGAACCTACCTTAACTTCCTGGATTTCATTAAAAGCCTATTCTTTGTTCTCTGAAGGCAGATTATTTAAGATCAAATGAAAATTTACACCATACAGCAGATATGTTTGAGTTAGTTCCATGCAGACTCTCCTAGAGTCTGGAAGGATGTACAAATGACAGTGCATCCCAAGTTCAGAAGTGTAATTGTTTTCAGTGTGTATAATATCATCTGATAAACTTGGTTTAAAAGGTGACTCTGAACTGTGTCAAATTGTGTATCTCATTAGCACAACACTCAGGATCTGTTTGGATCAAGCTGGTTTCTGTAGAGCCATTTATATGTCTGTGCAAGTGGTACACTGTACAAAGACACTTTAATTAATAACCCAGAGAGCTGAGAAACACAGTGCAGAGACAGCTGATTGGTCCTTTTGGAATCCACTCTAAGTCTATGGAAGTTGAAGCTTGTAAACTGTGGAGGACAGCAAGCAATTCTAAGGGAGTCACACAAATATCCCTGTATTGGATTCCACACCTATATGCAGTACTGTGCTATCATTCATTGCCTGGGACATCCCAGTCTTGTGCTGCTAAAATAATTAAGTGTTCTCGATTATTAGTTCTACAAATTGTCCATACTGAGACATAAGTAGCCTTTCTTGCTTCAACACGCATGAGCAAAATACTTAAAACTTACTGCCATCTGTGTTGCACTAAGATCCAGAAAAGATACTTTCTTGTCTGCTTGAGCTGCACGCTGCCTTGGTTTGGGTGTTGGTTTCTGTAATAAAACAAATAAAGTTGAAGACCATTTATTGCCATATTCTAACCACCTTATTTTACAGTAAGTTTTGAGGGACCCTAATTTTTCCTCAAAGCCAAATCTAACTGCACTAAATTTAATTCTAAACAGGCAAGATGATGTAGATGTTTGAATTAGCAACCCCCACCAAATGGAGATACCTTTCAGAATTCAGCCAGAAATGGGTATAAAACTCTGCAGAACATCTATGGAATACAACGTGAGTTCCAGATGAGAAATAATTGTAGGACTGAAGTCAGTGGTATCATATATGTGGCAGATTGATTTATTATTATCATTTATGGAGTGTCTGATTTCTTTTCTTGTTCCATAGGCTTACCATATCTTTGACACCTTTCCTCATGCCACTCCCTTTGGAGAATTTTAACACAGAAAAGAGACTAGTAACAGTTGCAAAATTAACAAAATGATCCAGAAATACTTCTGTCATGACATTATAATACAAAAGACAAAAAATAATAACGAAAAAGAGGTTTATTAATCTTCATGCTTTACTCTCTTGATGAAGGTAGAAATTATCCTCCATTTCCACTGATTTTTAAAGACAAAAAAAAATCCCCACGCTACTTTTAATTTATGCGTGATTTTTAAGAAGCTGTTGGGTATCTTAGCACCATGCTCCAGGCACCAGAATAACAAAGAGTGGTGGAGTTACACCTACATATCTGTACATATGGCTTTGGTCTGGCTGCTTGAGAATTCTTTTGGCTCAAAGCTACCCCAACTGACTGAGTTCCATCTGAGTTTCTAAAAGACTACAGAAAAAATAGCTGATTTCATGACTCATAAATTTCAACCATAGCCCTGAAGCTGTACAAGCGTGTGACTACATTTTACGTAGGACATCTACATTGGAAAGAGAATTAATAAGCACTAAATTTATAGGGAAGACATTTAATGTTTGTTATTTCTCCTCCCTTTTCTCCCTGCCCTTTTGGCTAACCAGTTATCTACCATTATAGAAGACTTTAAAAAGTTCTGGACACAAGAAAGATTTCACTTCCCAAAAGAAGTCGAAGATGGTGATTATATGAAGGGTTTGTACTATGCATTATTCTACAGTAAGGACAAATCCTGATCATCAGGGAAGAACTAAATGACCTGCTGTATTAGGTCTTTTATATCTCTTAACTTTTGCGAGTTTGTTAAATTACTTACTGTCACTGATGAAGTAAAAGAAGGAGACATGGCTGGAGTCTGCGTTTTTTCCTCTGCTAGTAATTTAGTTGCCATTGATTTTTCATTTTGAATGTAATTCACTAGGTCTGCAGCCATTGTTGATCCACTTGGTGGTAGGTAGACAAACTTCCATTTTAATTCAACTGTGATGGTACCAGTAGCATGTTTTTCAGAATCCGTTAGTTCAAAAGTACCTGAAAGCAAAATGCAAATCTTGTCTAAATTATCTTATTCTATACATATACAAGGAAATGCAATGCAAAACTGAATAGGATTCAGAAATTAAGTAACTTAATAGTCTTCATTTTAGAAGCTAAATAGTGTCAAAATATTGTGGTTGTAGATCCAAATATATCCAATGTAACACTGTGGACATTCAAAAATACAGGATTTAGAAGGGACTGGATTACTGTGTTGGTTGAAGATGTTCTGTAGGTTTCTCAGATAATCCAATACCAGATAACAAATTCTTATTGACATCTTTCAAAAGATGTAGCTAAAACATTTCCATGTTTTACTAATACTAACTTTTGTTAAAGAAAACGTAAGGGTTTCAAAAACCTGCAAGTTGCTAAATCTTTATCGAAGAAGAAACACCCTAAATTCACTTGCAAATTTTCTCCAATTATCCATTTTATATGGGATAACTATAGAATCATATTTTAAAAGTTTCATTAATGTCTTAGAGTTGACAATGAAATCATCATTAAGCAGCTTTTATATTATAAACACCATGGTAAATTTGTAACTGATATCAACTTGTGGGGAGCAGTTGATGCACTGAAGGCAGGGCTGCTATTCACACAGTAGAAAAACAGGCTGACAGAAACCTCATGAAGTTCCAGAAAAGCAAATGCGAAGTCCTGCATTGGCCCAGGAATAGGCCCAAGTAGCAGTACAGGCCGGGGGTTGACTGGCCACAAGTAGCCTTGCAGAAAAAGCGCTGGTCCTGTTTGATGAAAATAATAGAAGCCAGCCAAGCTGTGTCTTTGCAGCAAAAAATGACAACTGCACCCTGGCCTGTATTAGCAAGAATGCAGTCAAGCAGGTCCAGGGAAGCTTCATACTTTCTCTATTCGACACCTATGAGATGACATCTGGAACACTGTGTCCAGTTTTGGCCTCTCCAGCACAAGACATTGACATTCTGCAGCAGGTCCACTGGAGGGCTACAAAGAGCTTCAGGGCATTGGAGCACATGACATAGAAGAGGCTGAAAGAAGTGATGCGTTCAGCCTTCAGAAGAGGAGGGTCAGAGAGGATCTTATTGCCACCTAATAGGAGGGTGCGGAAAAGACAGAACCAGAGGTGCGCAGCAGGAGGAGGACAGCCAATAGACACAAGTAGGAACATGGGAAATCCCAGCTCTGTAAGGAAAAAGTTCTTATTATGAGGGTGATCAAACATTGGAACGGTTTGACCAGACAGGTACTAGATCTCTGTCCTTTGAGATATTCAAAATTTAACTTGGCAAAGTCCTGAGCAGCTTGCTTTAACTGGGTCAGGAGGTTGGACTAGACCATATCAGGAGTTCCAGTTGACAATGATTCTAAGATTCTAAGTGTAGCTCTTGATCTGGTTTTTTTTTCCCCCCAAAGCGGCTGATTTCTCATGTCCATTTTCTAATTTATTTTAAGCGTACATTAGACAAAACTAGAAAAGGAAACTAATAAGACAAAAAAAGGAAGTCATGCAGAGAAAGAAACCATGTTTTAAATTAGCATATCAGTCCTGAAGAAAAGAAGTAGCAGCAACACCAGAAGAAAAGGAGGTGGGAGAAAGTATGTATATGCCAGGAAACTTTTTATCATTAGAACATAAAAAGGACCAGTAAAAGAAGATATAAAATATTTCCAGGTTACTTTTGAACCAGAAAGAAACACTTGATTTCTTTTTTCAAGAGTTATTTCAAGACACCTACTATTTTTGTTTCACAGGTACCTTGTCAGTTATGACAGCAGTACATTTCTTTCTACCTAATAATGAAAGATACTCATAATACAGTAGTGTGAGAAATATAACTAGTAAATTTGGTAGGCTTCTCAAGGCAAAAAACAGTGGTAAAAACCAGAAGCAGACAGATTACTAAAATGCTAACAAAAAAGAAAACATCCATAATTGATTAGCAATTTTTTAAATTTAGTCAGTGCTACAGTGACACATCATTCTAATTATAATTATTTATCAAATCATAATTATTCCATACCTGGGCCAGTACAGAGAACAAAAAAGGATTTAAAAGACTTTTCATCCTTGTTAGGACCATGATAAATTAATATTTGGATTCCAGGTTCCTTTGATTTAATTTTTTATTTTTTTGCTTATGGATTTTAAAGAAAATATTTACTACTTTCTCTTAAATCTCAGAAAATGTCATGAGGGGAAAAAAAAAAAAATCCTATTATTGCAATCCACCCTGTAAGGTACAGGCATCTTGTTCAGATTCATTGCAGTTGATGGATAATCACAAAAACAAAGACCATTTTAAAATTTGAGTTAAAATGCGACAATGCTGGAACATTCTGTTAGTACTGTCTTAGTAAACAAAACAGATATTCAAAACTTTTTCTCCCCGTTGGTCTTTTCTTTCTCTAATGTTTGAAGTTTAATGTTTATATTAAAAAAAATCATTCATCAGTTTCAAAGCTCTCACACAGACTTTTCACTATCCATGACTTATGTAACACCAAGATGCAAAATTTCTTTCCAGGATTTCACTGGAGTCAGATAATAACAGTAGATGAACGATACGAGTTTTTACAATCATAGAATTGTTTAGGTTGGAAAAGGCCTTTAAGATCATCAAGTCCAACCATAAATCTAACACTACCAAGTCCACCACTAAACCATGTCCACCCATCTTTTAAATACCTCCAGGGATGGAGACTCAACCACTTCCCTGGGCAGCCTGGTCCAATGCTTGACAACCCTTTTGGTGAAGGAATTTTTCCTAATATCCAACCTAATCCTCCCCTGGTGCAACGTGAGGCCATTTCCTCTAGCCCAAACACTTGTTACTTGGGAAAAGAGACCGACCCTGACCTCGCTACAATCTTCCTTCAGGTAATTGTAGAGAACGATAAGGTCTCCCCTGAGGCTCCTTTTCTCCCGACTAAACAACCTCAGTTCCCTCAGGTGCTCCTCATAGGACTTGTTCTCTAGACCCTTCACCAGCTTCACTGCCCTTCTTTGGACATGCTCCAGCACCTCAATGTCTTTCTTGTAGTGAGGGGCCCAAAACTAAACACAGTATTCGAGGTGCAGCCTCACCAGTGCTGAGTACAGGGGGACGATCACTGCCCTTGTCCTGCTGGCCACATTATTTCTGATACAAGCCAGGATGCTATTGGCCTTCTTGGCCACCTGAGCACACTGCTGGCTCATATTCAGCTAGCTGTCAAGCAAACACTCCCAGATCCTTTTCCGCCAGGCAGCTTTCCAGCCACTCTTCCCCAAATCTGTAGCGTTGCATGGGGTTGTTGTGACCCCAGTGCAGGACCCAGCACTTAGCTTTGTTGAATCTCATGCAATTGGCCTTGGCCTATTGATCCAGCCTTTGCAGATCCCTCTGAAGAGCCTTTCTTTAGTTTGGTTCTTAAAGAGATTTAAAGAGATATGAAACAGGAAGTAAAGATTTTGTTAAATTTAAAGAGGTCTAATTCTTACCTGAGATAGATCTGTCATGTGCTAAAGAAATAAGAGGCACATTGTCTACATAAGCACCTTCTTCTGTTTCACCATCATCAAATACATAAAAGGTTAAGGATTCTGATTTTAGGTATCGGTCTACCTCTGCATTCATTGGCACTTGGAAACACATATGGTCATCTATTTGTGGGTTGTTGCTGCTAGGAATGATGGGAGTATCATGGTCTGCAAAATCAAAGAACTTGTAGACAACATAAGGATTTGGCTGAAGATGTTTTTTTCGGGATTGTAGATTGTTACAACAATTTATTGTGATGTGGAGTTCATTTAAATTGCCATCTGTTGAAGTGCTGACTTGGGCAGTTCTGAGTATCTGCTGCTTTAAATGAAAAAGAAGTTAAATTAAAAACATTAGAATTCTTATGTTGGTGAACCCTAAGAACTATATAAATAGAACAAATAACCGATTATTTCAATGACACTCTAACTACTGTTTAATTTTATATGTCAAAATATTACTTGTTCTATAAATACAATGACATCTCTCTTGGGTTGTTGGTATGAGGAAATAAGAGGTTAATCCTTTCAGGTCTGATTGTTTGCTTTATTCTTCTAAAGTTTTATGATCTACTTGTCATTTGATTATCTACAAATCAGTGAAGATCACAGTTTTAAGACTGATTCGTATCTAGTACCACTTTAAAGTTAAGGATTCTGATCTTGACAGCTATTCTGTGTCAAGAAATTTTTATAACTGTAGTCCCTTTTTTACATGTACTTTTCAATAATTAAAGCTGCACTGCAGATTCCCCTCTTTTTTTCTTCTACATACCTACATAAACAATTTAAAAAAAAAAATTAGAAATCAGCATGTGAAGAGTAATAATAAATGTTTGAAATAAATTTAAAAACTCAATGATATCACAAATTTTTTGAATTATCTATCAGCATGGCTTGTACATACTCTGGAACTCATAGTTGGCAAACTGGAAATATACTTTAATAAAAATTCAAGAATAAGAAGAAAACAAATATTACTATCTTAAATGAGTGATCTCCATCTATATTGATCTCAAAAGGCTCTCCTTTTTTACTGTAATATGTCACAGCTATTTGCATTAATTGTACATAATTATCTTGCTTGTGGAAGCCAGAGTTCTGTCTTCTGGTATATGGGGAAACATGTATCAATTTGATCTTGTGTGATAAAATGTTAAATATTTTGATTAAATAATCTACACTGAAATGCTTAATCAGAAAACCAAACATGACAGTTTAAGTCCTTAACATGCAACCTTAAGACTACTATTCCTGGTTACGTATAGAACTGGAAAAAAAAAAATTTATAGCAGTTTATGTACAGTTCATGTTTCCATGATTTCTGCTGCTATACAGGACAGAAAATTTTATGTGTATGTTTAACTAGTGAAAGCTTACGTTTTGGAACGCACAACTGAAGCTAATTTTGCAGCTGCAGATTGACAGAACCCTTAACATAATGTAACCATCTGCTATAGCTATATGACTTTTAGTTTCTAACATGAAACATTTCTGAAAATTGCAGTGTTTCAAACAGCTCTGTAGAAGCTGTTCTTAATTTCTGCCATTTTTCCTATTTTATTTTCTCCCGTATAATCAGTGTATTTCAGTTGCCATGTTTGAATTTGCAATTTTACAATAATTACAGCAAAACACTGTTCCACATGCCCTACCTTGCAACTGTGTTTGAATTGGTAACACAACTCAAAATAACATAGTCAAAAATAGAGAAACTAAGTAACAGATTTTGGCATTTAACAATGGCCAGATTTCATGAGTTAGTTAAAAATACCTTTGATTCTTTTAAAAATCAGATTTAAAGCAAATGTTACAATGTTATCAAACACGAAGTTATTGTGCCTACGCTGACGTTTAATAGAACTCATACACTAAACATACTTCTCAGATTGTATCATGGAATCCATTGAGATCCTAGTACAATAGAAATTTACATTATGGAATAATATAAAACATTAAAGTTACTTCAGACTTATAGTAATTTAAACAGCTATAGATAAAAAAATTCCCCTTTAAAACTCTAAAGTGTTTTAATTTATACATTTCAATCTGATTGTTTTTATTTCTTAAACAATTGTTAAAGATGTCTGAAAGTCCCTTCTTTTTCTGTGACCTTTATTTAAATGTGATTATACAGTGCATTATATTATCAAAATTCTCTTCATTATCCAGCTAAAAAAAAAATACTCATAATACTCAAACATTAAGAACTTTTGAGACCTTTCTGAACAACCACTTCATCTGTTATGCTGATCTGACACCCAGTCGGTTTAACATTCCTGAACACCGTACTGGAACAAAATGTTAACAAAATCTGGCACTTACAGGTTAAAAAATAATAAATATAATAATTTCAAATATTCTAGGTTCAATTTCAATAAAAATACATAACTGAAGTTTAAGGCTTTGCCTCTTCAGTAAAGCTATAATTCAACTGGTTCTTTCTCTGTATGAAAAACATGCCATTCAACTGCTAAAGATATTTTCCAGTTCAAGAACCTTTAACTTTGTTAACCTGGAACATTTCAAGACTTGAAGTAAACTATCTGAACTGAAAAAGTAATGTTGAACAGTTTATTCTATCAAAACTATGAAGTACAAACCCAAACATACCTGAGATGGTTGTTCACGTTCCCTAAAATTTGATGTTATATACCCCAGAGCCTTTGACCTCTCTTTGTAGAGACTAATAGCTTGATCCATAGGAACTCTTAACCTGATCCAGTATTCTACAGTACCATAATTTTGAATGTTTCCTTTGATTCCTAAGGAATAAATACATACGGGATTGCATTAATTTTCTTTTCAACATTAAAGTACTTAAGTCAAAACCAGGAAACGCCACAAATTAAAGATTAGTTATCTTGTGACTATGCATTATGACAGTGTTTGTGACATGAGATGTGCAGTTCATATTAGAAACAGAAACAACTCCTCTGGCTCTACATGTATGATCCGAAACTGAAACATGACCATTTTTCATGTTGTAATCTGCAATATTTACTGTCCAAGCTATACAGTCAAATCAACTTCATTATTTTAATCTCTTTCAGGCAAATACAGCCTAGGACAGTTTTGCATGTCAAAAGTTGGAAATGTCCCATAAAGTGGTATGCAGTTTAAATTACTGGCAAAAATACCACTTTATAATGGCTTATTAAACCAGATTTTTGACAAAAGCAGGCAGTTAGAGGTCTCTGAATATACTGATCTGAGAAAACACTTTGAAAAGAACAAGCAAGCAGCACAGAATATTATGTACTTGTTAAAAAAAGGCTTGTCCGGGATATCTTAAACTTATTTTAAAACAATGAATTAAATTAAAAGGAAAAAAATTACACAAAACCTAAACCAACTTCCCCATAGATTATGCTACTATATGAAATATTATTAACTGTAATCACCATCACTTGCACCTTTTTGATGCCTTACAACTATTATCTGAAGACCTCTGACTTACCAGTTTAAATTACAGCCACTGTAGCCATTTCTTCCTTTATTTACTGATAAGGAATGAGGGGATATATTTATGACATTTGGGCCAGACATAAAGCACTGATGTTTGGTAGTCTTATAAGGCAGAAATGTTTTTGTTTTTAATGCATATTCTGCCAAACAGAAATTGCATATGCAAAAGTAGAATTCAGTTTCATTTAAATGTATTACAAGACTTCCCTGAAATTGCTGTATGTTTCACAGTTGAAATAAGTAAGGTCCCCTTGTACCAGTAACAGTCTGAGAGGATGAAAGAAACTTGCATTAAACAACTAAAGCAGAATTAACAATATAAAAAATAAAGCAAAATGAAAAAGAATATCAGTCTTATTTTAAAATATCTTCTCTACAGTGTTCATAGAGAAATTCTAACATATGAATAGTACTACAATGCAATCAAGTACACTGCTCTACTACTTTTCTCCATGTTGTTTTTGTATAATTTTGTTGAGTAAGGTGATACTATCTTTTATTAAAATTCTTTACATGTGTAGTAGTAACACTTTGCAAGTAACCTTTATACAAGACAAAGAATCACTTGCTATTTTCAGACAAGATTCTCTAATGCCATTTCCAGCATGTCACATACTTCTAATGTCATGTACTTCAGGATCACTGTATTAACACCATCTTTGTCCTCAGCCATTATGGGTAAAATCGCACATTCAGAGCTTCCCCCCAACTGTTGGTAGAATCACCAGAACATGCTGCACATCCAACAGGAAATATCATGTTGTGTAAAGCTTTTTTTTTTTCTTTTGAAATAGCAATACACGAATTCATTGCTGGCCAAACATACATTACTTAATTGTCATTTACAATACTGCATCAAACAATACTTTTTGATATGTTAATTACCAAGTAAATTTGCTGTGCTGTAGATCTTCCCATTGTTTTCCAAGATTTGATGGAACTTCAGTTGACATGCAGCAACTGTTTCATAATCTGTGCCATATGCATGATGAAGCTCAAGTGTGATACTGTTTTGCTGTATATAGTGCAAGAAGCAGTCATCAGCCTGCACAAGGTACTGAGAAGTGAAGTCATATGATGGGGTATACCCATAAACTACTGGGGTTGTCTGAATTTCGAAGTCATAGAATGCATAAGTACAAAAAGTTGCAGGTTCTTGGTCACCAAAAGCATGCATAGCTCCAGAAGAGAAAATCACTTTGCTGATATGAATTTCAAAAAGGTTCTCTCCTTTTTCTAAATGTAAAGTTTCATCAAATTCATCCACTGGATCACCTGGCAATATTTCTGGTCTGGATTTATGCGGTTTTGTACCATAGACGATATCTCTTAGTTGGGCTGCAACAAATACAATAAAATAGAGCTACAATATGACCATCTTGTTTAAAAATCAAATATAATTGATGACTAATTAGAGAGGAAAAAAGCATAAGTCAATTATATTAACCATGTTACTTCCTTAAAGGTGTTACCAAAAAAGAAATCACCCATTTAAAATCACACATCTAATGCTCATTTAGCACACTGACAACAATCAAAAATACCTCCACAATGGAGCTGCTGCAATATACATAAAAACAGACACAGGCCCCTAACAGTTAATAACAGATTACAAGGGAGTTAACAAGCAAAAATTTGTAAGTCTCATGCAATGATCAAAATACGTATCACTATGCAAATGTAGCAGAGACTTAAGATACATGTTTTTGTAGGACTGAACTAAATTTGCCAGGGAAAGAAGGAATACATCTGAATTTTAACCTCTGTAATATGCTGAGTGGACAGAACCATCAGCAAAGACCTTTACATGTTGCCTGGCCTCACAGGTGGTAAATGGTGAACAAATGCTTACAGAATTAGAACATAAATCATCATGCAGTCCTTTAGTAGAGGGGGTGCAACTTGGAGACAAAACATGAAAATTGTTACGACATTGGAGTTTGTAAGGTATCCTATTTCAGGCTTCCTATGCACCTTTTACACACTGAAGCCATTAAAACAGCATTTTAAATTCATCATATTGAAATATTTCGTAGGTATATTATACCATGACTTTGGGATTTTTAGCAACACATAAAATGACTATGTAATTATAGGAAGCAAAATAAAAGGTTGACCATAAATGTATGATTTATTTAAAAAAAAAAAAAAGTATCTAAGTTTGGTAGTTTTATTCTTATTCAGCAATAGCTGCAGCATAAACTGCTTTGTTGAATTGTGTTTGATTAATAACTTTATCATTTAAGTCAATGAAACAGCACACAGATAATTTTCCATGAAAGAACTGACCTTCCTACTAGTTTTAGGAATGGAAAAGTGTTTCAACTGAAGAACTAATTTACAACAATAATTTGCAAGAGATAAAATAAAATAAAAAAAAAAATTTAGAGAAGATATACTTTAAAGATACCTTCTAGTTTCCTGATGCGTGCAGCTCTAATATCAAGAAGATGGACGTACTGTTCCAGTTTTAACTCATAGTCTTTCTGTAGACTTTCCATCTTTTGTGTCACTGCTTCTACTTCAGTCTGAAAAAAATTTGCATGTAAAAAAGACTTTTGAGGCTTGTCTGCATTGATGCTACACATGTTTTTGGCTACAAATTAAAATACAGTAAGATTTGAGGAAAGAACATTTAGAGTATACAAAAATAGCAGCAATTTTTAATTCAGCAATAAGGCAATCATTTCGAATTTCAGCAAAATCTAAAAACATTATTAAGAAAAACAGACTAGCTATTCTTTCAGGACAATGTTCCTAATAGTTTCGTTAATGATTTTGTTATTTTAAACTTAGATTAATTGAATGAAAAGGCAAAATATGAACTGCAATAATCCAGCACAAGAGAGTAAAAGCAGAGTGCTGTGGAAAAGGAAGCTTATTTGATAAGTACACTTAGTATTTTTCCTGTGAGGACCTGATAAGAGCTCAGAGAGAATCCCAAGAAGGCATGGTTTGAGGGCTCTGATCAGGGCAAGTTAAAAGACTAAAGTTATAGTCATTTGCATCTCACGCTTTTTAAATAAGACTTTCAACAACAGCAAATCTTATGTTAGGTTACCTATAAACAGACTGGCTTTGTTGCTGAATTTGCAAGTCTTAATTATGACAAGTTCCAGCGCTACAAATGTTAAAATCTTATTATCAGGTTATTTTCCACTGTGAGTAGAGTTTAGTACCTGGTAATCTTTGTTAATTTTGTGCTGCACAATTAACATATTCCTTGTCTTTTCAAGTTCTTGAACTGTTTCCGCGTGTGTTAATTGCAGCTCCCGCATGGAATGTTCTAAATCTTTATGGATATCATCATCTACTTTTTCCAAAAACATAAGGTCCCCATTCTTCTGCTGCTTTCGAACCTGGAGCAAATTTGAAAAATTACTAGAACAAACTTTTGCAAAATATTTGTATGTATTTGTGTCTGGTTAAATGTAACACTGGGATATATTTTTGCAACAACAATAAGATAGTAAGCATAACGTTGTAAATTTCGAGCATGTGGTAACACAAAAAAATAGGAATGAGGTAGACCGGTAAGTATCAGGATTGTATTCAGTAACGTAATCTCGTGATTATCAGGAACCGATTAAAATGTATGAGATATTCAAGAAGTAATCACTCCTGCCTATCCAATGAAAATAAAAAAACATTAATATATTTCCCTTTTATATAATTAATAATCCTGCTTTAGTGAATGTACAAAACCTGAATTATTATTCTCAAGTCTACATTGCTTCCGTTATTAACACTGGGGTTTTAAATTTCATCTAGGATTTTTTGTTTTGTTTTGTGTTTTTTCTTGCCTTTTCTTTCTTTTTTTCATTATCATTATAGAAGTAGCAGAAGAAGATGCTATTTACAGTAAACCCTTCCTCAAGAAAAAAAAACGTAAGTCACTGGAACAGTGGAAACATAATGCAAACTTATTTTTTCATTGATTTCTTTCCCCCACCCCCACTTCATTTTCAATTTCCCTGTAAACAATAAAATTACAACTTTTCTGCAAGAGAAAAAAATAGAACATCTTCTGGGTATTTTTGTTTTTCTGTTTTAATAAACAAAGAGAAGTTGCTAAGCATCGCTGTATCACATTTTAGAACTTCCATGCTTATAGTACACTCCCATAAATTACAGAATAAACAAAAATGTTTTCTAATAAACATTCTAGGAAGAACAAGATGGCATGATGAGCCATTTAACTGAGAAAAAATAAGTTTTTTAAATAAAATGCTTGTGAATCTGGTTTAATTCACTTTTGATGTTATAATGAATTATCTACATAACTCTAGATTTCATCCTGGCAATTTTTTTTAATTTCCCTTCTGCTTCCCTGTAACTGAAAAATGACAAAAGCACACATACGAGCTTGAAGCATTAACTACTAAAAGATGCACAAATAATTCAGTCCTTGAAAATCCCAGGCGTTGTGTAGAGAACGTGTAATGGTCAACCAAGGCTTTAAAAAAAAAAGAAAAAAGAAAAAAAAAAAGAAAAGAAGAAATGCAAAATATGTAGAATCATAGAATGGTTTGGGTTGGAAGGGACCTTAAAGACCACCTAGTACCAACCCCCCATATGCTTTGAAAGTTACCTTTATAAGCAAGAGGGCTTCACTGAGTTCTGCCACATCAATATCACTTTCCTGAAACAGAAATACTTAATGAAAAGGTGTTATCAGATGTGAATGAATATCGAAGAAATACATTCAGAATAACAAGCTGCATTCTCACTAGACATGACATTTTGCTTGATATCATGAATAAATAAACATTGTTATATTTCTGTATTCTTTTACTTTCAGGAAGTATTTGCAATATGCATAGAACATACAATTTTTTTTTGCTCATATTCTAAACAGAAATAGAGTTCACCTTGGTCAAAAACTTCATGTGATTTTTCAGTTCATCTAGTTGTTGCTTATGTTCCAGGTAGCATAACTGCAGGTCTTTGTTCTCTTGCATCAGCTTTTCCTTTTGGTCTTAACATAGAAAAAGAACAAAATATTCTACTTAATTCAACTTAATTATAGAAATTATAAAATTGCTTTTTCATATTAACTTATGCATGAAAATTTCATTTTAAAATGTAGAAACTACTTTATTTTGTATAGGGAAATCTTTGGTATTAACAAACAGAGAGGGATAGAAAACTACTCTTTGATCTGGTATAGCTGTATGGATTAAAAAAGCAAAACATTCTTACTTTCATTAAAAGGGAACCTACAGCATCAAAAATCTACACTTGCGTATTTCGAAATAGATAGATATGCCCAACTAAGTACAGCTTTCTGTTTTGGGAGGAGGGAGGAAAGAGGGGAATAGAGAGGACATAAAACTCTTTGTCAATCTGAATGACTGAACACCATTAAAGTTATCAGTAGAAGGTTACACAGATACCCACTAACGCATAGCTACATCCACAATGATTTCTCAATAAGATGTGAGAAAAAAACTTAAGGATTAGGCAAAATGATTTAGTTATAACAACACACCTTCTTTCACATGGAAAAGTTTTAAAAGCAAGCTTTTCTCAAAATCATTGAGGTTTCTAAGGAACAAAAGTACTCTCTCATTCTCCTCCCCTGGCCAAACTCATTATTCTCTTGATAACAGTGTTTTTTCTCCTTCCATTTTCTTCCTGTGTTTTTTTGAAAGTCCCAAAGTTATATTCTCATACCATGTACTTAAATCCTATGAATTCAAATCTTGGGTCAGAATGATACAAATGTTAACTTTGTCAACCTGATGTGCAGGTACTAGCCTTTGTAATTCCCATCTGCACTCGTGCGAGTTGATTAGTAAAACATCACATACTTAGTTGAGAATATATTCTACTGCTTTCAGCAAAATAGTCCAAAATATTTTTTTAATGCTGGAATCTTTTCTGTTGACCCTCAGGGCATGATGCACAAGCTAGCTATTTTTACAGAATAGCTTTTCAGTTTAGAAGCTTGAACTCAGCACGAAACAGGTGGCTGAGATGCTAGTCTCAAGGGTTTTGAAATGTTTCAAAAATTGACATCAGGTTAGTTTTAATTTTGCAGAGTTTATATATCAAATGACATCTTCACTAAAAATTAATCATCTGTAATGCCATTGCTCCTATACACAGTAGTCGCACTCATGTATGTGTTGGGACTCCACAAGAGTCACTTTCAATTCAAACACATAAACACCAGTAAGGTTTTAATTCTCTGCAGTTATGATGAAAATGTAACACATTTGTGCAACTGAGAAGAAAATATAATTAGAAACACTAAGGGCTAAAAAATAGGAAGCAAATAAGAAAACAATTAAAATAAGCCTTGCGAATGGGCAGAGAAGGCAGGCCTTCATAAAACATGATGAAACACTTATCAGCAATTGAGTCTTCTGGACTCTCCCAAATAATAAACCCAAAGGACCCATATCTGTTGGGAGGTCTCCCACAGAGAAAAAGGGCCCCTCATGCTGATGTTGCTTCTTTCCTACAATATAAACTGAGATCTGAACTGGCACTTTTTCCAGGGATAAGGAGACAAGATATCCCTTCTCAAGTACTTCTATCTCATTGTCATGAATTTTCTAACAAGAGCAGCAAGCTTAGTCCACTCTTTTTCTAACACGAACCCCAGTGAAGTTTTTGTACACATTTTTAATATTCATTTACACTTGCTGCTTAAAAAGTTAACTTCAAAACTGTAAATCATATATAGAAAGGAAACTAGCTTTTGTTCAAATTGAGGCAATTTCAACAGCTTGTTGAATGAAAATGGGCCAATCTGTCAATAGCACAGCTCAGTCTACCTTAGCACTGTCCATCTTGCCTCTTCAGATTCTCAACAGGCTGTGTTTCTATGATCCCAACCAAAGATAAAAATGCAAGTGAAAGAGGCACGAGGAAAGGGAATACTTCCACAATAGCCTTTAGGGAACAGAAGTGACAGGAGGGTCCTGCCATTCAGTTTTCCCATACAACAACACTGTTTTTCATCAGGAGCTACTCAAACTCTATTGGTTGTTTCCACTTATAATACTATCAGCACTGATTGGAGCACACTTGGATCAGGGTTGGTGCTGCATGCTGGCTGCTGCTTAGCTTGCTTGCTCATTTAATTTAACCCAAAAGCTGCAACTGAAGGGGAAGAAGAGGGGGGAGGGAAGAGGTGATTCTCACACCATTGGTGACCACATCCCACAAGAACACATCATCACAACAATATAAGGGTTTTCAGTAGCAAAGCTATGACAGTTAGAGCACAAGAAAGAGGGAAAACACTGCCCCGGAAGCTTTGGAAAACACTGCCACACCAGCTTGCAAGAAAGGCTACAGAGCCACGAGTGGAAGCAGACTACAGAGTTGCAGATAGTCGTCTGTGTTGATAAGGGCCTTATAAGACATCTAAGGGACTGTGCAATACTACTCTTCTCAGCTGTAATCAAAATACATACTGTGCCAATATATGCAATCCCATTCAAAATCAGAATTTGAATAAACTTGCATGGGTGTCTTCCACATTAAATATTTGTACATATTCGCAAAACATGAAAATAATTAGAATCTTAATCAGCAAAAGCCTCCACATTTGTTCACCTCCTACATGAATTCACAGAAAGAGTTCTTATAGACCAGCCACTACCAACCAGGTAAGCAGGGGAGAAGAAAACTGTCACTGTCTTTCCCTGTAAATAAAAAGTACGTGCTTCCAAGACAACTGAGACCTATTTTGCTTACTATCCCATAATCTACCTACCTAATTTACATGTACAAGAGCACCTATCCTCCCCCTTTTCCCTGCCAAACCCTCTATTTGTCTAGGTCCAATTTAGAGCAACAGGATTGCCTTCTTTATTAGCCCATGGAACAAAACTGGAACTGCATTTATGCTGATTTTTTTTTGGTAGTTTTATGGACAGAAGAACAATATTTACTCGTATATTTCACATGTCAGCTTTTACTGACACAGAACAAATATTTGCCCATTAAGACAACTGTAAAAAAAACTTGAGTTAGTAAATAGTGTACTCTGTAAAACAGTACTATAACTATGAACAACAAATGCAGCAAGACATGAGATTATATTAATGAAAAACAGAAGTTATTTAGACAGAAATATTACCAAGTAGAGACATACACTGTATGAATTCATGAGATAAGTGACACCAATCCTTGGTATACTAATTGTTTCAACTTAGATTTTGTATTAGCTTATCTCAGCCTTTTAAGACTTGCACGAAACAACACTGTCAGGAAGATACAATGAATGTGAACCAAAGAGCTATTCTAATTTATGGCTGAGAATCTGGGAGACATTGAAAAGACAAGAAACACAAGAATAAATGACTAAGGGAAACGGGGCAGGGGGAAGTGTGATAAAACATCTGCAAATACCATATTCTTAAAAAAAAAGGGGGGGGGGCAAACATAGTCACAATGTGAAATAAGTTATTCTGTTTTCTGTTTAAATGTATTTCTTCTAAGTATTACAAAACACATTATGAAGTTATGGACAGAAAAATACTACTAAAAAATCCAGATCCAAATTACATCATCACTAAAATAGAAATACTGAAGGAGGACATGGAAAAAGGCAAGATGATGTTAATCTCCTGTAGCATTAAGAATTTTCAAGATTTTATTTATTTTAACCTTTTTCTTAGTCCTGGAAAAGAAGTTTTGAAAAAAGATTCATATGCCAAACTACAAAGGGTAGACAAGACGCTATTTCTACACTAGTTCCAGGCAGTAGATTAAGACAAACAGTACTTCAGTTCTGCTGAACTTAAAAAAGGGGTGTGCAGCAAAGGCAGATACTCTGAAGTATGTAATTAAAGAAACTTATGCTGCCTGAGTTTTGTAATCAAATCCTAGATACATAGGCCTTGAAGGATATTACCATATCTACTCAAGCTGCAGCAAGTTCAATTCAATAGAAATTGGAAGTGTAATAACCTGGTGATCCAGTTTAAGAGCACAACAAGCTATTAAGTGCCTGTCTGGAAAGGGGTGGTAAAGACTTGCCACTTAAACATAATGCCTGCAGGAAGGACAGAAGATGGAAGGCGTTGCCTGATTTTCCACATTCAACTCAACCACATAATAGTATGGCCCATAACATTTTAATGCTCTTAATATCACTTTAAATTTTCAATTGCATAATCAACTGTCTCTAACTGTCAATACATCATAACTTCATATTATTGCAGCTTAAGGCATCTTATTTATTTTAGTATCGCTTAAGGCTAATTTTGCAAACACTTGCTGTGATCAAATAAAATGTTTGAATATTTAATCTGGTATTTGAAGTCAGTAGAGCTACTCAGAATCTTAACGGTAAGCGCATGCTGAACTTGAGCCATAATCATAAAAAGAATTATTCACAACAAGTTGGCCCACTTCATTCCATTAGATTGTTAACAGAAATACACCTTTTAAATAAACATACTTGAAGAATCAACTCTAGTTTACTTCCTGCCTGTGCTCTTGTTTTGTAAACTTTATGTTGCCACAGTATATCACAGTATTGAGATAAAAAAAGAAAAGATTGTAAGGTCTTAAAGACTCACTGAGAAGTTGTCCTACAGCATGGGAAAAACACATATGAAACAATCTCTTCAGCAGATTAGAAGAAAACTGTATTATTGTAAACATACATAGCTGTAAATAAAAAATAATATATACTGAAAATATTAAAAAATTCTGAATTCACAAAGTTGAAAGACAATAAGCCATCTTCAAGGGCCTACATAGGCTTCACACAACTTTGTACAGTAAAAGTTAGAATAGTGGTTTATAATTTGAGAGAGACTGTCAGATGGCCCTCTTTTTCCATAAGACTTTTCAATGTAGAGGACAGGAGAAATACAGAATAAAGAGTAAATATGAACCCAACAGATGAGGAATGAAGGCAGCTGGAGTTATATGATCCTCATTCAGCACGTAAGCTGTATTGGGTCATTTTTTTTACTTCATAGCTAGTCATAACTTAAGCATAGCATTCAAACATACACTTAAAAGGGAGCTCTGAAATCACCAACAACAGAAACTACACTTTTCTGGGCAATATACCTGAACGCCAACACAGGAGAATCTCACATCATGAGAAAATGACAGTTATTTCAGAAATATACCTCTTTCTACTTTGATCTTGTCAAGGATTTCATTTTTGTCTGCTAAATCAGATTTGATAGCAGTCTCTAGTTTAGCAATTTGCAGTTTCAGTTGCTGTTCCTTTAATATCCATTGCTGTTCATGGGTCATACTGAAGACACTGCAATAAAACATGTGGCATGTGAAAAACTTTTAGAAATGAACTTCAACAGAAAATAATAAAGAAAAAAGCTTTTAGTGGCACAGAGACCACTGTCATCATGTCTTAGGAATTAAGTAAACATATGCTGGTCTGCTGCTGTTGAAACCAAGGCGCCTTTCTCAGGCTGCGGTTAAAAAACATGAAAGAGTTTGTGGGATGAGCAAAGGAACTGGCCTTAATTTAGAGCTCCAAAGTCAGAAAAGTTGGCAGCATGCAACATTTGTGGGACTAGAAAAGGAATTCAGATGCATATCCCAGAGTAATCCACAACTCCAAACCTCAGCAACTGACAACTGACAAAACCATTCTTTCCGCATACAAAACCTCTTAATGTAGAGAACTGGGATCACCCACCTGATTTCTTTTAAATCTGTGAAACATGCAGAGCCTAAAGTCAGTTGCCCGTTCAAAGAAATGTTGACCACAAAGTGACAACAGTTTTCTTATACTGTAAAACAACAATTCTGATGCTGATTAAGAAGCACATATAAAGTAATCTTTCTCCTACTTTAAGAAATAAAAAACAGACGTGGGCAAAGAAATTAGAATAACTATTTTGCCTGTAACACATTATTTACTTGTAAATTACTGATCTACGTGCAATAAGGACTGCAGGGACAGAGAATGAGAACTGCTGAAACCACAACAAAATGTGTAACTCAGATTGAAACAAAATTAAGTACATTATATAATTTACAGTATAATTCCCAGTAGGTAAAAAGACAAAGCAATGCAATGTGCTTTCCCATAATTTAGACAGTGAGTACTACAGTCTTCATATTATTATTCAATACGTGCGTTCTCATTGACTGGAAAAATGTCCTTCATCTTAACCGATCATAAATCAGTTTATTCACTTTTGTATTCTGTGAGAAATCTGAAATTGTAGGGTTTTTTTTAAACAGAAAAGTCCGTTCCTCAACTCTTCACTTTGGTGAAGCTCACCAGTTAAAAAAGTCATTTTTTACATACGTAAATGTATAAAAATATCTTCTGATATTTATCTATTTATCAATCTATCTCTCCCAGAGATCTATGTTACAAAAGCCTCAACCAAAAAAAAACACAAGAGGAGAATAAAGAAGGGAAGGGACAGCCCACATAGCTTCGAAGACTGCACATGCTGACTGAAAGAAAACTGCCACTACATAAAGTGGTTCTGAGTACATATAAGTGCATTTATATCTAATACATTTGAAGAATGACCTTAAGATTAAAGAAAAAGAAAATATAGCATGAATTGTAGACTCTAAAGTATATGGCAAGAGTTTATATTCTTGGTTTGTGATCTTCATAAAAACAGTTCTCTCTGTATTTTGTCTTTTTCTCACACTATATCTACGCCACCTATTTACACAGTTCTCTAGGCATATACCATCTTATAGGGTGACAGAGTGTCTTTTATAGCATGGATGAACGTAAGCAATGCTTCTAAGTCCTACAGTAATATATACTTCACTCTGCTATAATTTTGAAGATAATATGGAGTGAATATAATGCACAGAACCCACAATCATTTCTATAATACTGCATAGGTACAGAAGAGACACAGTGTGTTCTATAATTGCTTAGATTTATCACTATTCCAAGTTTGATTGGCTCCCATAAGGAAAGAATAAATCTTAGCAAGAAAAGATATCAAATACCCTTAGTTTTCACACTTCTGAAAATGTTTTCAAGTTTTAATAACCATGATATCTAGTTATATGTGCGTTCGTTATCTTTAGGTATAATTACTTCACATAAAGATGTAGCTACACATTATTTCAGTTTTTCAAAAGACTATGCTGGCAGAAAAATAATTAATTATGAGAGTAATTCAGAATTTAGATGTTTAAATGAAGAACAATTTAGAAGACAGGTTCTATCCAAGCCTATGTAATGCTAATGTTTAAGTCAGTTTGAATTGAGTCCACTTCTGTCGCTTTCTTCCTTTGAATTTTAAGATTACTTTTACTTGAACTTATGTGGAATTTCTTTCACATTTACCGTATTTCACTGGAGTTGAAGCCATCTGGGTAACTATAAATGGTCAACCACATCTGGCACCGTTTCCTTTGGAGGGAGTTTAAGCATTGCTAGATTTGCACTACAAGGTCATATGAAAACAATTCCTCCAAACCTTTTATCCAAACGAATTGTTTTCTTGGATACTGACTAAATAATAAGAGTCAACTGACAAAATCATACTTGTTCTTTGTAAATTTTTCATATCCAGTTCTGCAGTCTTGGCTTTGGAAAAATTCCCATCAACTTCAAGTGAATTTCCAAAAAAGTAACATTAGCAAAGAATGGGTTCACGTCTCTTCTCTTCCATTAAAAAAAAAAAAGGAAATATTTATTAATTATCTGGCACCTGTGGACACCAGCCTATCAACTGCTAGCAACAGGTAAGCTGTAGTAAAGTTGCATTGTTCAAATGGGCAACAGAAGAAGCTGGCCATTAAACAGTAGTTATAATGAAACGATCCTTTTCTCTTTCTAATTTCTTGTTACCTATATTAACATGGAATGATGAAACATGAATCAAAGTTTAAATGGGAGTATATGAAAAGACAGTTCATTTTAGGGAAAAGAAAAGCCATATTGTAGATTACTGGGTTATGAGAGAACCATATTTAAATTTATCTAGTTAAACATCTTTTTAAGTTATCCCACTATGATTTAAATAGAACAGAAAATTTCAAGGCAAGACTGTAAGTTGATTTGCTAGTAAGAGTTATTTCTCTGCATAATGATAGATTAGGAAAAAAATCATAATCAGAAATATTTATAACATGATCAGACTTTGGAGGAATCTACAATGAATTTAAGCAAGAGACAACTGAACAACTGCCCCTATACAAAACTCTAAATATTGTGTTTATACAATTGTTACATCTCATATGTAAAAAAATGTTTTAAGCTATTTGTACTTACAGTTTTTTACTACCATAATTTTTAATTTCACTGTAGGAAGTACAAAAAGTAGAACACATATTGTATGAATACTATAAACCACATTTGATATCACTCACATTGTGTTTACTCATTGGTGGTTTTTTTGAAAGACATCACATTGACAAACCAAACAAACTTTAACAGGATAAATAATTTTGATATGAGAAAAGACTTCAAGCATTTTACCTACTTTCTGAGGCAATTATTAGCTCTAGGAAATTTCTTTTATTTTTCTAACCCTCTTCAGTGTAAAAGACCACATGGTTTCACAATAAAAGAAAAGTTAATTTGAAGGTCATTTTTTCCTTTAATATGCTTGTGTCAATTGACTATAATGACTTCTTTTCTGTACCAGAGAATTTCTGAATCATATCTGGCAATGTATTTTCATTTTCACTGTAAGCACTGCTGATACAATTTATCAACTCATTACATATAGGAACCTTTGTAAAAACTCACATGGGCCTATACAAAAACTTCAAGTACCACCAGTACAAGTGAAATGGTAGCTATTACCGAAACAAACATACCACCCCTCAAAAATAAACACTGGAGAAGCTGTCAAATATCAGACTTTATATAGGTCCACTGAGAAGTGCTGGAAGAATTTGTACAAAAAGTTCAAACACCATTTTTCCCCAAATTAAATAAAATAAAATAAACCCAAAAGAATATATGTCCACCCAGATGTATTCTTCTTTCAACAATAACCCTAAAAAAAATTATTAGAAATTCAAAGAAGAACTTTTTGCATTGATGTTCAAAATAAAGTGACTTCTACTTATTTTTTAATTAGATTTTTAAAGAGAAGTAATCTACTATTTCAAGAATATTAGAATAAGTATGGAAGCTGCTCTGTTTCAACAGAACAGATGAAATACAGACAGAACACCATAAAAGTTTCCATGTACACTTACTGATATAATGAACTGTAGCATGAATATATTTACATGTGTGCACAAACACACAATATGCATATGCACATTCAAGCACACAGTATATGAAGACCTATTAAACAGCACAGGAATCAAGTTTTTAATATACAGAAACTGTAACTTACCTGTTATACAGCTTATCATAGTTTTCCCTCAAGAGTTCCTTCTCTTTTTCTAGATCATTTATTCTTTCCTGTAACTAAAATGAAGAAAGAAGTTTCAAGCAATGCACAGCACAAAAGGAAATTACAATGAATATGTAAAGACAATTAGTTAATAATTTGTAGGTGTTCTCAGGCTTTTATTTGTTCTTTTTATACAACAGTCACTTAGAAGCTTCAAAGTAACACTTCTTTTCACCACATGGATTTACATTTGGCCCAGACAGTCTTTTTCATGCTGTTTATATGAAGCTGAGACTAACATGCTGCAGTTGAACAAAAGTATCTAATCACATTCTGCCTTATAAAAAACAAACAAAAAAAATCTATAGCATTCAAAACTTTTATTTCCGTTTTGGTGACTATTAGTATTAGCTAGTTAATAGCTCCTGTAAGTATTTTTTTAATTGACCTTATAGAAACAACAAGTCCTTGCTTTCAAAATACTCACTAAAGCAGGATATAGTTTTAAAGATACAAGATGCTTTAACCCAGAAGATATACCCTATGTGCACTACAATAGTTTAAACGTTTGGAGGAAATATCTATGTGGTAATCTGGATAAACTTGGTTCATGGAAAATACATTCAAAACAGGTAAACCAGGTGGTAAAACTAAACTTAAGTTGCTACAAAATGAAAATAAAACCAAATAAGTTTGTAGACTTTTAATCCTCATATACTGAAGAGAATGAGGAATAAAACATTTGATTTTTAGCCCTATATCTGGGTGACTGTTAGTGATGATACTTGTCTCTGAGAGTCACTAGACAAAGAAATAGAAGTGACTGATTTGAACTGCTGAGTAAGATGTAATACTACACTGTACTGTACTTAAATCAGGATGAAATAATACTAAAAAAACTAGCAATATGTGATCAATAAATCAAGTATTATGATTTTTTTCTGGTTAACAAACCACTTGTTTATTGTCAGAAATGACATGAAATCCTATGCTTTAACCTCAAATATTGTCCAAACGTTGGTGCTGTGATTATGTGGCATGGGGACCAGGTACAGTTCATGATTCTATGAAATGCAAGCAGCAGCCACAGGATTTTCTTTTTAATGGGATAAAAGTATATATATTACCAGGTCAGTCTTCTAAATGTGTTTGAAAGGTCTATCCACATCTCTGCAACTGAAAGGTATCCCATCATTAACTTTTCCCTGATCTATGTGTACTACCAAAAGCAGATTCTAGCTCTCTTGAACACAGTCCCACCTCCTCTGTCCTTAGGTTTGAAATAGTCACTGATTGCAATTCTTTTTCAAGATGGAGGCACTTTAACCGCTCCTCTTTAAGCTGTAGATTCAGTTCATCACCTTTTGCTATTAAAGCATCATGGCTCATCTTCAAGTTCCTTTGGTTCTATGAGAAGAAAGGAAGGAAAATGCAGGGGAAAAAAAAAATAATTAAAAAAAAAAAAAATCACACTTAGAATGTTACAGCACTCTGCATATTCAACCAGTGGTCTCTCATGGCAGTATTTAATATATATTCTCAATGCGGTCAACAGGAGACACTCTTGAACTAAGTAACTGAAAGCAACTTTCATTATGCGTGGCCAGGAGAAGGTGGCATTCTTGTTGCTTTCATGAACATCAAACCCTCAGTTCAGTCATGATGAAAATGACCAAGAAATACATCTGTTAAGCAATTAAAACATTTTGCTGTGGTTACAGTGGTTAGACATGCTGACCAAAAACACTGCAGTAGCAAGCAAAAATGAATGTTGACCACAGTTATGTAATCACAGAACTTGCCACAGCTCTGTTAACTCTTAAGTGTAGATATATATATTTGTTTCATAATCCTAATGCACTCAGTTCTATTTCCCTGCTAGCAGTAACTTAATGAGGGACTTATGATTTCTTTTACATTTTCATTTACTTCAATGGATTATATTAAGGCACATTTAACCAATTTTAATATTAAATAGAGGATTCTGATAGAACCTCTATTTCCAGAATATTAGTTAATATTATACTCCCTACATTCCACAATGCTTTAATAAAGCCTCATTAAGAATTTCAATGTAAATCACATTCAAAGTATGACTTGAAACAAAACAGCCCAAAAGCTAATCTCCTATTTAATAAAATGATTATATGAAAATTTATGTCAAATGCATGTATGAGTATAAATAACATTTAATGATTGTAGACAGAAAAAAATTAGCTTCGTGTTTTCCATACAATATTCCTACAAAGTAGTTAAACGGAGAAGCTGAATGTGAATCCTGTACAAATTGTTTAGGTTCACGTGCAGTCTGAATATCCTAGAAACAAACAAAAAAACCACAGAAAACCCAATCACCAACCTACTCTTCAGCCTCTCATATCTCATTTCTCCATAAGAAAAATATCATGGAGAATAAATAATATTACCAGTCAGTCTTATTTCAGAGATATAATGAAGTATAGTACTCATCAATTTTTAACAGTCTTTCTTCAGTGCTCCTCTTACTCTGTCCTATATCTGTGAACTGTATTTCAATAACTTCAAAACATGACACCTTAAAAATCATTCTTTTACACTCTTTTCTCTCCAAACTTCTTTCCTTTCTTATCAAAATCAGAATCCTTACAGTCTCTAACCCTTCCAACTGTCCAAGCGAATTCATCTTTTCTTCCCCATCTCTCAGCTTCACTTTTTTCCTGAAGTTCTTTTCCACGTCAATAACTTGTGTCACTTCAACCCATCATATATGAAGAAAAAAACAAAACAAAACAAAAAAAAAAACCACCTTGGCAAAGCTGCCTTTCATAGACCATTTCACCCTTATCTCTTTCCTCAGTTTCCAAAACAGCTGAAAACAAATTCAACAATCATATTTATTCTACTGAACCATCTCATTAAAAGCATTAAAAATATCCTCCTGAAAAATCTCCTTGCTTCAACTTCATTCTAATCCTTCAGTGTCTCTGCTACTCTCCTGACCATTTTGGATTAACTTTCCTCATTAACTGTAAGGGGACCATGACTTCACTCTTCCCGCGCCCCCCCCCCCAATTGCATTCTTTACGTAGATATTCTTCTATATCTGAGTGTTCTGTCAGCACTTCTTTTCCATTATGCCCAAACTGTTTCCTATCCTGCTCTCCCTGGAGTATCCCAAGACTCAGGTCATGGCAACAATTGGGATAATGATTTTAGATTAATATTTCTAGTCTGGAATATTATATTTCTTTGGGAAACATGCCTTGATATTGTTGTCAGTTAGAAATAACTTAAAGAAAATGGATATATACCTCCTAGAAATATTGCACAAATGAACATAAAGTGCTCTCAATTACAGTTGTGAAACTGTTGTACCGATTGTTCAAGAGAAGAATTAAGCCTCTATAGCATTTTAAATTGTAGTTGCACAGGTTAGCATATTTCATATTACAAAACATGAAATCCTGAACGTTCAGTCTATAATTAAAGCAAATAAATATACCCGTGGGATCAAATACATAATCCAAACAGTTTCAGTTCTTCTAAGCAGATTGCACAATTCCTTCACTCAACTGGCTACATTAAAATTCTTTGTCAACAAAACTGTCCTGTAAACATTTGGTAGCAAGCTCAATTTCGATATCATTAGATGGAGCAGGATTATAGGCTCTTATCATTCTGTGGTTTCCCATTGTGGGCTGACTCAAGTTCAAAGATGAACATGGAGGAATTGTACGGGTTTCAATTGGTAGAAGCTGAAAGTAAATGATAACGAACTCAATAGTCATAAAAATCATCAAAATAAACATAAAAAAATACTAAAAACTGCTCTATTGGCAAGTACTTTACATGCCATCTAAACTAGAAATTTTGAATTTTAGTTATTCACATTTAGTAGACACGTTTCAAACACTCAAATGATTGGAATTGGGAAAACCATTTTATCCATTGTCTTGTTCAAAAAAAAAAAAAAAAAAAAAAAGAAAAAAAACAAACTCATCCTTTTCAAAAAAGCAGCTTTCACTG